CTTATCTACAGGCTAAAAATTACAAAAAAGCTAGCATTACAGTAAGTCTTACCTTATTCCTCGAACAAAATCATCAAGAAAACAACGATTTTATGTCTATTTAGCACAAAATGGACAAAAGAGACAAACAGCTACATTGCTAGCTTTAGCTTTTAGCATGTTGTCATAGAATAACTCTCAGCCAATCACACTGTGAGAAATAAACACTGGATTTCTTTTGTTATTAGTATTGTCTTATAAAAGTTTAAGATCACATCTGTGCTAATCATAAGCAAGGTAAAATTTTTAGACATTCACTGCATACAAGGCAGAACAGGGTGAACAAATATGCTAACTGATAATATTTTTAATGAACATATTTATAGGTCTGGTAAAATTAAAATTCTCTTTTTCATATGTAAAATTACAGTAAATTACTGGCTTCTGAGTTGCACTTCTTTTACAGTTGTGTAAAAATACAGGAGATTACTGTATTTTAATCATAGCTTATTGCTGTAAGTGTACAAAAGAATACAGCTACATTACAAGTAATCTTGTGGTGCAGGTGACTATGAAGTCACAGTATACAGTGGTTATTTAACTGTTATTTACTGTTAATATGGTACAGTTAATTGCAGGGCAGGGAAGAACATTGAATATATGGAATGGAAACAGCGGATCACTTTGTTAGTAGCTGAGACTTGCTTTTCACATCAAATCTCCACTACCTGGTCCACTACCAATAATCACAAATTCAAGTGTTAAGGGTTTTCCTTAATAATATTACTTTAGTTACAGTGTTTGCCCACACAGACCAAACATGAACAGAAACCCTTTGGATTGCTTCATCCATTAGCAAAACTCCCCTCCCCATCCACCTCTCTCTCACTCTCTTTCTCCTCAATCTACATAATGAACTCTAAAGCCTAGTCTTCAGGTAGCACGGCCAGACTCTGACTCCGAAAATCCTTTTGCTATCCCCCTACAGTCTCTCCTTCTTTTAATCGAGAGGAGGTATTACCAGGGGAAGTGATTAGGTACAGGTCTTTTCATTTTTTCCCCTACTTCTTTTCAAATTCTTAATCCTTTCAGCAACTGCACAGAAAAAGGAAAAGTCCATAGACATCCTGCCATCACAGCCCACTCTCCCTCTCCAACAAAGAGACCGACTTTGTGTGCCTCTTTTGAAATAAGAGTGGCAAATTAGACATTATTGTTTCCCACTTTGAAATGCAACATTCTACACCCGCCCCTCAACCCAGGCTTCTAGACTTGGTCCTTCCTGCTAAACATCTTAAAGATTTACGTAGAAAACAATGGAGGGAAAAGTCCCCCCACCTTTCTCCCAGTCAACATGTCAACTTGACGTTCAGATAGTTTAGTGAAGCAGAGGTTGTAACTCTGAGGATTACGCTGTTAAGCTGTCCTGACACATAAATTAGGCCGGACTCACCAAGCAATCCAGAAAACCCATAAGAAGACAATGAAGTGTTTTTTAGGGATGTGAGCACAATATACACAGCAGCAGAGTCTCAATACATTTTTCAGTATAATCTACTTTAAAATAAAGTTGCCAAGACAGTTTCTCTGGAGCAATGGCTTAGAAGAATGATACAGAAATGTTACAGAACCTTTTATAAGTTTCTAGGGCATCACTGAACCACAGTGAGAGATCCATTACCTTTAAACTAAGCACCCAACATTGGTGAATCTTCCTAGGAGTGGTCAGTCTGCCATAATGACCTGAAGGGGACCAAGGCAATCATCCATGAAGTCACCAAAGGTTCCAGGAGAACTTTCAAGGAACTGCAGGTCTTGCTGGCCTCAGCAAAGGTTACTGTTATGACTCGATGGAAAGAAAGGGACTGGGCAAAAGTGGCATTCATGGAATAGCAACAAGTCAGTAAACAATGCTAACCAAAAGAAATGCTTCACATTTGCAAAAAAGCTCCTGGACAATGCCTAAGCCTTTTGTGATAATGTTCTATAGAAAGACCATTCTGAAGTGTACATTTTTGGACAACATGAGCTCCTTTATATCTGCCATTAAGCAAGATCTGCAATCCAACATACCAACAGTCAGGATGGTGGCAGTAGGAAAGATGTGTGGATGTTTTGCTGCTTCAAGACCTGGATAACTTACTATTGTTCTCCATCAGAAAATACTTAAGGAGAGGGCCTGCTCATCTGTCCAGGAGCTGAAGCTGATACAGGGTTACACAAGACAATGGTCCAAAGCACAAAAGCAAATCCACATCTGAAAGGTTTAGAAGGAACAAAATGCATGTTTTGGAGTGGCAAAGACAGGCCTTGAACCCAACAGAGATGCTGTGGCAGGGCTTCAAATGAGCAGTTCATACTTGAAAACATACCAATATATCTGAATTAAAGTGGAGAGGAGTGGCTTCCATAATAATGTGAAAGGCTGATATCAAATATTGGCTGCAGTAATGCTGCTAAAGATCATGAAACAACTTAATGAAACATTTTAAGGCAGCAATTACTTTCCCATGTTAAATCTTTGCTCCTTAATAAATGAAATAATAAAAACAAGCAAGCGTTTGATAATATTGTCTTTGTCTGATAATACATTTGTTTAAAGAGTATTCACTGTGACAAATACACTTTTCATTGTACTGCAATGTAAAGGCTCTCACTTTTAAGTTTTTCCTAGAACTTAAGTCCAAGCCAAGAACCATTTAGGAACTGTAGTTTTAGGACCATATTACCAAAAAGCACTCACAGAGTATTTATAGGCATGCACTATATAGCTTGAAGTAGTAAGTGGTCTAACTCTAGCACACTCAAGACAGCTGAATGGAGAAGCTTATGAAGGCAGTAAACTGCAGCACTCAGGCTGGTGACTTGTAATGGAGGGGATTTGGTGTTCCTCCTGCTGCATTGATGGACCAGCTGCAGCTCGTCTACAGCTCAAATTCCCATACTTCCATTAATCTCCTCTGCTCTATTGCTACGGGCGAGTGCAGGAGGGAGTGAGAGACAGAGCTAGAAGGCCAAGCCTGAACTTTATTGTCCCAACAAAGTTGGTTATCCCTGTACTTAAGTTACTACTTTGATGGCAGACCAATTCCCTTTTTCGGTTCACTTTTAGACACTGCTGAGTTAACTTTGGTCCATTTCCTCAGCTCCAGGATAATCAGTCTGAGGGTTTGGTGCGTAAATGTAAATATAAACATAGAGGAAACCGGCTGGTAAATGTCCAGCACCTGCATTGCAAAGAAACTGTTTGGCCATTTAAGCAACTGTTTGTGTCTGTCTCGACCATCAGATAACCATGACAAGCGATGGGAAAGGAAGGTGTTTATCAGCTGACCATCAGTTAAAAGCATAAAGCCCTTTCTGCTGGACATTGTCCAGGACACTCCCCGTTTATGTTTATAGGGCTATGACAAACTTTGTGTTTATGTGGGAAAAAAGATAATACATATAAAAGCTCATAAAATGTAGAAGAGAAAAAAAGTTGTTAAAACAATCTGCCAATAGGGAACTAATTTAGTTGAATTTGATTACCTTGCTTACCTTCCTCGATGTGGAAAATACCACAGTACATTAACTTTTTAGCAAAGCACCTCATGGAACTGGATTGTAATTCATTCATTCACATTTAGCAGGCTAAAAATTCTCCACAGGGGACACCATCAGCAGTCAAATAGCTTTTGACACTTAATAAGAGCTGTACTTCACATTAATGGCACTGTGGCCCAATCCCATTTCTTATGTTTACTCTTACCCCTTGTTTTCAAGGGTTTTGAACCAGTAACTTGGAACAAGTAAGTTACTTACAGGTAGTGGTTGAAATCTTCCCTCAACTGTCAAATAAAAAAAAGAACATTACTTCATTAACAGGCTACTAGCAGTGCTCTATAAGCGACACTGCCAGTCTGTAGTGATAGCAGAGGAGTGGTAAAGTTCAGCAACCTTGCTGATGGGCTATAGTTAAATTTAGGGCATCATATGCCTTCAAAGAGGGGGGATGCAATAATTATTTATTATCTCCCATCCCTAATTCCCTGAAGTCAGCTATTTGCTTCTAGTTTACATTTTTTATAATTAATTATTTATTTATTTAATTTATTTAAGCATTTTTAATGCTTGTTATGAAGAAAAGGACCATAATACATTGAAATGACATTAAACAAAGATAATACGATGTTTATTGTAATTGTAATGTTTATTGTTTATTGTTTCTTTGGTCGCATGTGCAGCCATCTTGCTGGCTTTTCTTTTTTTCTCATAACACTCCATTTGGAGTGTGCTTCTGGAACCGTTTTGGAGGGCTGTGTAGCCCTAACACTTCGCCCTACCCCTCTATCTCAACAAAAATCGGGACACCCTTCCACTAGGCGTGAACATGCAAAACGGAGGAGTAAAGCTAAGTGGTAGGGGCAAGGGGTGAAAACGGGATTCGGGCCTGTGGGTCCTTGTTTTTTTAAGCCCCTGAGAAACCTAAATGCATGTTTTCTTTTAAGTAAGTTAATCTTGCCCCTGTGTGCACAGAATACACTTGTATAAAGTATGTCCTGTGAATAACTTTCCAATGTCCACTAAATGGTCCATGTATTTTGCCAAAATTCTCCTTTACAACACCAACTGAATATCATCACTGTCTTGAAAAATCTCCAAAATAGTAACTTTATAGATAAAGGCAAAAATCTTGTTAATCGTGAATGTAAGATTTATACCAAGTAATTCTGGAGCATTACCACTGGTTAAACTCATCATTATATTTTGAACACAATGTAGTGTGTTTTTTGGAGTTCTGCTTCAGTGCCGTTGCAGGCTGGGAGTGTTGGACTGTGAGATATCAATCATGCTTACTCATCAGACTCATTACTCATTACAATCACACCAGGCCCAGACAGTTTCTCAGATAAGTCTGATCAGCATTTGTAAGCAGCGCTTTATTATATTACCTATATTATATGACCTTATCTGAAGCTCTGTGATTAATCCACAGCATACATATGTGTGTAATGTGTGCATTAAAAAAGAGTGTTCAATAGACCCAAAGCACTGATGTTTATTTTTTTCAACAATACAGTTTCAAAGTCAATTTCATGTATAGAAATTGCATAGCTCTTTGCTAAGGTCCTCCAAAGGAGACAGAAATAGGTCAAGAAAAATATGGCTTGAAACCACATGATTCAACTAGTTTCTATTACAAACACACACTAATAGAAATGAACTCAATCCAGTAAGGGCACGTACAAAGTGTAAACATATAGGAGAGTAAAACATCATATCTCCACAACAGGAGAAAGAAAAGCAATCACAACTTTTAATGCAAGTAAATGTAACAAGATTGTTTTTGAAATAAACTTTGACCATTTTGTAGACAACTGATCACGAAATGTTCACAAATATTCACATTATGTAAGAAAGGAAAGATAGGAAAAAAAAAAATTTAGTTAAGAGTTGATCTGACAGTGACAGTAGGTTTGCGTGGACAAACTGATGGAGAGATATGGCCCTTGAAGGTGGTCTTGTATATTCCCCAGACTTTAAAATAGCTAAAGAGTGTGACAAGCTGGAGCTCTGTCTGAAAGCATTTATTTACTTCAAGTAGCAGTAAAGAAAAAGTGCTGAGCCAAGGGATCGCACTGAGGTACCATTTTATATTTAATTGTGCACAATTTTTGTAATTGCTTTTTTAAATATCAAAACATTGTGACAGAACTAAACAAATGTAATGGTGGTAAATTAGCATGACTGTGGTTTAGCAGACATTTGCAACAGAGAGAATGAATGAAGTAGATGAAGTAGATTTACATTCATCAACTTTAACCACAAACGCCTTTGAAATGATGGACGAATTATGTTTTCCTTCAATCGTAACCACAACAAAGGTCTGTCTGCAAATGAGGCTTCTAATGCAGCACCATATGGAGGACATTACCTACTTTCTGTTTAACAGACTGCAGTGTGGGGATTGTTTTGACAGCCATAGTTGGCAGAGAGATCTGAGAATCACATTCAAGAGATCCATTCCGTACTGTATACTGGATCTGCTGAAGTACCAGACAATCAAAAATGATTGACTTGCAAACCATGTTGCACTGCTTTCAAAGTTTCTATATTCTTGAAAAAAACCAAGGACCTCATTCTGGGCAGAAACACTACAATAAATAATAGACTAACAAATTTACACAAGGTTCTACTCGTATAATAGTTAACAGACTTGCTTAAGAACCAATAGCTTACAGAAACCACCCAAACCAAATTTAGAAGTACATATGACACTGGAAAAATCTGAATGAAAAGCTCTGTAAAGTCAATTATAGACAAGCTTTCATTCATTTACAATTCTATGACCACTTAAGAACTATTTGGCAGCTATATTTTTCCTCCAAATCTACATTAATAATTTTCTGCAACAGAGGTAGACAAATGCATTCTAAACAATTTGGTGAACATCTGTATGTTTGGCTTTAGGTAGTATGAAATACAGTGAAGACTACAGGGGTGAGGTGAGTAGTAATTGTGTACCAAAATGGTGAGCGGTACCACTTTCATTTTCCACTGTGCAAAGGTTGTACCATGATTTTTGCATACTGTACGCTTCTGTAAGCCAGTAAAGGGCAGTCAGGATGTACAGTAAATGGTAACTTCATCTCAAATGACTTGTGATATTTCGACTAATGGCAATATTTAGTTTTCAAAACGGTCAACAGTTTTTGAACACGTAGGAATGAGTACTGTTTTATCATACGTATTTGACAAAAGAGATGCTTATTTTGAAAAATTCATATTTCATTATTTTAACACATGGTGACGTTGACTCGTTTTTCATATCACTGTAAAGTGTCTCACTGTCTTGTCTAAGGCTACGTTTACACAGCAGGTAAAAGTGGCCCAAATCTGATTTTCTCACTAAATCCGATTTTTTTTGTTTGGCTGTTCACATCATCTTTTAAATGTGACCTGTATGCGACATCAGTCTGAACAGATCAGCTCCTAAACCGACCTGCATGCGCAAAAGAACAATGCTTCACGTGGCGTGCTCGCTAGAGATAAACATGACGGCCAGCGAACGCCAGTCGCTCCCGGAGAGTTCAGTTTCGTCTTCGCCAGCATCACAGGAGCGATTATAAAGTTCCAGTGGTTGACAGCGGGACTCATCACCCACAGTGTGTTCGAGTTCGCCGAAAAAAAGGGGGCGTTATTCGGCCACTTCTTTGGTTCGTGTCCTCGGATTCTTTGAACTGTTCTCTGACGCTGCAGCCTCGGTCTCCTCCGGCCGCGTTCGGCCGTTTGATGACGGTGCGGTTTGATGAGTCTCTTCTAATGTTTTGGTACAGAAACATCAGACTAAATATTTATGAATCTCAGCAGCGCGAAATATTGACGAATGTCGCGTTGTACTGACGTAAGAGTCGCATGAATTCCGATCTGGCTGTTCAGACTGAGTCGCATTGCCGCAGATCGGATAGATATCGGATTTCAGTACCACATATGAAAGCGTCTCAAATCGGAATTGAACATGTCAGATTCAATGCGTTTTTTGCTGTTCACACAGCCACACAGATGATACATCTGTGTTACATACGGAGAAAAAGACCGGATTTGGGCCACTTTTACCTGCTGTGTAAACGTAGCCTAAGACACAACTTCCTCAGAATTACGAAGTTATTTTTAACAGTTAGCTAATAAAGTGGCTAAAGTATAGACTTCAACATTGAACAATGACCAAAACATGGAGCTGTCTTGACACAATAAAAGTAAAGTGAAGATGTGCTGAAAAAAACAGCATGAATGAAAAACTTCACTTTGGATCTTTTGAATGCTGCTTAACAATGAAATACATAGCCAAGCTGAACTTGATTTGTCTCTTGTCTATTGTTTTCTTTTATAAATGAAACTCATTTTAATAATTTAATTTTGAAAAGGCTATTTTTTTCTTTTGTTTGAATTTTTTGTTTAGGTAAAGATTTTACTACTCTACCCCCACCTCTGTGACTCTATGCATGTGTACAAAACTTGTATGTAACATTGTCCACAAAAATCACTACAAACATAACTTTATCAAAATATGTGCTGAAAACTCCCTGTGTGTTTTGTAAACATTCAGGATCCATGTAATTTACATTCATATTACTTTGACCTGGAGAGTAAACACCAGCAGTTGTCCACAGGTGCTTTAGTCCATTTTAGCTTTTCTGAATCACAACTTGAAATTTGCCTGTAAATAAAAACAAAGCAAATAGTATTATTTTACAGAAAAAAATACTTTCTCTGCATTTCTATATTGCTGACAACAGAAGACATGCATTCTGTAAACTGTCAAAAATAGATAGTGGATACCAACATGATGGCATTAAGGAAACTTCAGCAGTCACCACACTTTCCAAGCCCAGGTTGCACAAAGCTCCTCGAATCAACCCGCAAGAGTAGGCCAAGTACTGTCAAAGAAGAATTCACCATGAATTTGCAGTGATTTCTGTATTTTATCATTTTTAATTGCATACTTCAATATTTTTTCAATGGCCCATACCAGAAGTATTGAATTCCAGCACAACTCCAGCATATTAGCCAGGGTTATTTAACAAACCACCTGTTAACTGACAAGTTAGTCAGCCTCTAGGACCAGAATTGAATACCCCTGGCCTTTATGCTTTAGTTGGGCAACACTAAATCTGTAGTGCTAATTTAGCTCCTTTAATAATCTGCATTTCATAATCTGACCACACAGTGGAGTTCTACAGCTACTTTCCTACAGTGGCTGCTGATGATCAAAGAGGTTGTGCAAAGTCTCCATGTGCAGATGCTCCGCCCACAAAGACAGATAAACAGCGTCTCATTGTAACCTATAGTGGTCACATGTATCAGGATTTTGTCAGCTGCATTCTGACTGGCTATCTGCACATCTATGCGTACGCACATCCGTGCACTAGTTTTAATCTGTCTGATGGGAAATGCAGTTGTGCAGCAGTCTTTTAGAGTGAGATACAGTTGCTGAAAATCATCATTTTGAAAATCAACGTAACCTCCACGTCACACAAAAATAGGTCAGTGGTTGGTCATTTACTATCAGAGTCAGATGGCCCTTTCTTGTGAAAAAAAGGCGGTTCTTTGCAATGTTAAGTGACAAAATGCACCAGACTCTCAGACCATAGGCAGAAGTCTGGCTTGTGAGACTAGGTTGGACATTTCTTTAAAACTTGGCTACATGGCGACTCTCTCCCAGGTTCTACAGTAAGCACATGTCGAGAAACAGTAATGCTCCTGATTTGAAATAAACAAACATTTTGTGATTACAAACTTAATGTGAATGTTTTTTATTCCAACTTTTTTCTTTATTTTCTTTTTTTCCTACCTGTCAGAGAGAATGTTTAGTTTAGCAATCATATTTTTTCTACATTATCCAAGTCCAATTTTGGATTTAAATGAAGCTCAATTCTAGACTACTGAATGAAGAGCTGTCTTGAGCTGAAAGAGTTGGTTGTTACTGGTGAGCTGAGCCTATTGATCTGACTCATTGAAAAGAGCCAGAATTAGCTGTGTTAGTGTGCAGACTGCTTTCCACTGCATTGTAATTTCAAATAGCTCTGACGCTGCCACCTTTACAGCACGCCAACTAACTATACAAAACACATTTTCCACTAGTTTTAACTTCTCAATGCAATCAAATTAAATGCTCCATTTGGGAGATTTTCTGTTGTATAAGAGGGCCGTTTAACTGCTGGTTGTTTTGCTTCGCATCCATTTTTGTAGCCTGTTTAAATGTCCGGCTTTAATTTGATGGGGCCATATAGACCAATAATGCTGAGCAGTGTCCTACAAATACATAGCTGAGCCTGGCTGTTTCTGTGATGTCACTGAGCAGCAAAACAAACTTTTTAATCCATGAGATTTACATTCACTGCCATGAGACAGCACCAAAGGTAAAAGATGTGAGTCTTACAGTACCCCAGCAGTTCTTAACTAAACCATAAGATTTGACGACTATGCAGGTTACTTATATAGCAGGTTAATTAGGCTTCTTGTGCCATGTGTGATTAACCAATAGACTGATTTTTTTCTCATGTCCTGCAAATATAGTAGCATTCGAGGCCAGTGTAAAGCATCATTGGGAAGAAAGAAAAAAAAAAAACACGTTTGTAGTCACACATAATGAACAGCATAATGAAGTATGCTATTAGGATCAAAATCTGTTCTTGCACAGGTGCTCCGAAGTCAAAACTGTGGTCCCATTTAAAGAAAAGAAGGCACATGTGAGCTCCTTTCTCCACTTCACTGTGCAAAAACTATTTCATTTGCAGTGAATCTTGTGATTGCATTCAACTTCAATGTTTGTAGTTTCACAAACACTCCAATAATATAAGGCCTACAGTAGTACACAGTACTATTATGGGCTTACTTTAGGAGCTTCTTCAAGGTGCTGCTTCCCACTGGACACTTGAGTTAACAATGCAAATTTGTTATCCTGTAAAACGTACGTTCCCTGTAGACAGAAAGAAAACACAGACACATTAAATGCATCAAAGACTGTCATTATGTATTTCAATTCTTATTAAGTTAAATATCAGACCTGGTGGTTAGTCCTCAAGTTATCAACTTGTTTTCTGAAAATACTGGTCCAGAAATCCTTACAGAGGAACTTCATGATGTCCAAGTCATCTTTGAAAGTGGGATAATCTTTTGTACATCTTTTCAGAAAAATATTGAAAAGTTTCATGTTATCATTTTATTTTCAGGAAAAAATGTTTCTGCTTCTAAAAAAGAGATGATATTGTGTCTGTGATGGTGTCTGCAAAGCCTGACATGGTTGGGTTAGAAAAGAGCACCACCCAGAGGTTTTAAGTATTTAAAAAATACATTTCAGAATATTTGATGGCTCTGAGCTACAGTTAGCCAATAGTGCCACCTTCTGTACAAAATGTGCACTTAGCGACTCTAATGATTTGCAGAATTTAACTGACAACAGAAAGGGTACATGCAAGCTTGTTATTACCTTTCTATTAGGCCTTGTCCCACTCTGAAACCCATTCCTTCTAATATGGACACGCATGTTACTCTGTCCTATGAAAAGAAAACAGTTGGATGAGTAAACAAGAAGCAAAAGACAGCAGAGCTGATGCAACTATTTACATTAAGGGGTGGGCCTTTTTGTCTAACAACATAACACAGAGAGACAGAAAAGACTTTACAGATCTTCAAAGGAAATTCTGGGAACTGACTATAAGAACTATCAGGTTAAATTGAGAGGTAAACTATACAAGATGGAGATGTCATTTGACCAGGGGCACCCAAACTTTTGCAACCCTCCACAATGTGTGCTATATAATGTTCAAAGCTTTAGAGATGCCTTTTTTTTTTTTCAAAAAACCCACTCAGAAATCTGTTGGCTAATTGTTTTATTAGTTGCGTTCTGTCTTTTAGAAAGTGTTTTAACTGCTAAGCACACCTTAACGTATTTTTTCTGAATTATTATTTATAGATTTATGCTTAAATGTGGAATTACAATTTTTAAACAGAACAAGTGCAAGCACTGAGTGGGGTCTTTGTTAAGTATATTCCCCTGCCCACTACAGCAACTACTCTCGTACCCAAGGGTTTAGTGTATGTGCAATTCAGAAGGATAATAAAAACGTTTATTTATCTGAAAAGTACTGTGTTTAACAGTTGCTTGTGAATTGTATTTCTGATAGGTTGGCACTGACACAGTTCAGGTGCACTGCATATTTTAAGTGCATCCATGTACACTAATGCAGCATAGCTTTGTGTGGTCAGAAATGGGTCATGCATTTTCTTGCCCATATTGCCTTCAGGTTGCTCATTATGGCCCTGAATCTGGAGCTTGATGTCTGTGAAGCCACAGCACAACACTGTAATAAAAGGTTTGCGTATTCTTTGAGGTACAGTGTTAACCTGTGTTATACATAAACTGTTGTTTCAACAACCATATTAAAATAAACTTTCGTCAAATGCATCCTTTTGCTTAACAGCACTGAACAAGTTTTCTGTCATAAATGGGTAAAATTTTCTACATTAGATGTAAACAAAGTCGTTCTGAGTGGTTTGATGTGAAATGTGCTCTAGATAAACTTACCAAGTTCAAATTGTTCTCATTAGTGGTTATAGGAACCAAATGTCTAAAGCACTGAATGTCTCTAAAAGCTCCCTCATAGAAAGTTTTTGTATAAAATGGTTACAAATATGTTGCCTGATGTCTAAGAGATTGTTTTACAATTTTCTCCCCGATTATCACTATTTCATTATCAACATTATATATAAAAAGACACACTATTCATATAGGTTTATTAGTCGTTTTGGAAAGCCAATAAAATGAATATATTTGCATTGCAGACATCACGACCACTGGTTCCTATCACCACCACTGTAAAGAAAATTTGACTAGGTATTTTTTTCTACATTGTGCCACTTCACATCAAATGTGTCTGAACGACTTTGTTTACATCTCACTGACCGAATTATGCAGAAATTGTGAAAACTTTGTGGATTTCCCCTTAAATGTAATACAAAGCCACAATACCTTATCAGTGTCTTCTCGGCTCGTCTGCTCCTTGTAAACGTGGGACACTATCTCCATGTGCAGAAACTCGAACAACACGTCGTCTGCCATGTTTACACAGCTCGTCCACTCCAACTCCTCAGCAGCTTCGCTAACTTCAGTCTCTTAAGGTTTGTATCTCTTCCAGCTCTTCGAGCCTCTGACCAGTCAGAATAGACTAGACAGAACAGGCACTCAGGTATCGTGTAACCTGGGGAAAAATAACAGCAACAAGTATATGTCTAGCGAAGTAGCGAAGCTGGTCCTGCTAGCAACAGTGTTGTAGCTAGCTAGCTAAGTTAGTCCAAAATAATGTCGACGCCCTGTGCAATAAAACTAACCGAATTAAGGACAGTGCACTTTGCATGACTAGCTAGCTGCAAGCGTCTGACAGACGGCCATGGCTAGCAACAGCTAATTACAGATGGTCTTTCCTGCTTGCCTGAGTGGGCTGAATCACGAACATATGTTAGATAAGACTATATTATCGAGAATTAAACACGCATACCTAAAATATACTTACGCAGTGCACGAGAAATCAAGCATCGTGTTATGATTAGCTAGCTGTACAGTAAATCGGATGTTTTTATTTCAGGCGCTAAACGACAACTCTGCCACCTTGCGTTTTGGAGCCTATAATCGCTGTGACAGTCTACAGCGACCCAAAATCTTGCTCTTTTGGGTCGTATATAAATGTAACACTATTTTGGCAATGTAAATAGTTTTACATAATTTGTCTCGGTGTCTGTATGACTGTTAGGATTCTTGATGGTACACGAGGCGCTCTGAATTCTGAATGAAATGAATCAGGCTGTTTTTTTCTGCTGCTATCCAATGAGTGATGGGGAGTCGATGCCAAAAGAGTCGATTCTCCGACTCCGGCACACCTGGGGCTCTCTTGGCCAGTGACTGAGAGTCGAAATGTTTGACTCTTCACTCTTCGGCTCTATTTGCTTCATATTTTTTGACATCATTATGACAGAAGCGTGTGTTGAGTGGTGCGAGTTTGTTTACTAGTTTTGTGATAATCCAACACTGCAACAACAAAAAATAGTAGTACACATTTTCCCCACAGAACGTTGTGGTAAATAACGTAGCTTAAGGCTTCTTTTTTGCCTGCCGCTTATCCTTATTTTCTGTTCCACCTTAAATGGTGGTGCAGTAACGTTCTTGCGCCTGCACACTATTTAGCTAGCGTTACGTAACTGCTGCATAATTTAAGGTGGAACGGAAAGTTTGAATAAGAAACCAGCTAATAAGTCAAATTCAGCCTCGTGGTAAGAGGAACACAATAACATTCAGATGTGGCGTTATGAAAACTTTACTTTAAATCTGATTAACTGTTTAATAATGGTTTATTTTCAAAGAATTATGGCTACAGTAATGATTTTCTTAATACGGCACTCCGAGTTTCCAGTAGACTCTCCTTTGTCAGGTAACCTGATATTACTTAATCTACAAAGTTTCATTATATCACTATAATCTTTAGCTACTGTATCCCCTTATCACCGTCTCCTCAGCTGTCTTCTTGTTTTTTAAAGTGGAAACGAGGATTCGACTCCATTGATTCCCGCGAGAGGAGTCGAGACTCGGAGTCGAGTCCAGTAAAACCGGAGTCGCGCATTATTACATCCGATACGGTAGGTGGCAGTATGCCTCCCTGTTTCCTCAGCGCTCTCAGAATCCCACAGAAAATGGCTAACCGCTATGTAAACAAGTGTGTGATGCTTATGGCTGGTTAACTGGAAGCAGCTCCTCGACTTTCACTTCCAGCAACTGAAAATATGATTAGTTCAATCATGGAGTCTGTGCTCCACAAGCGGCGAATGAATCTTCTCCGGCATGTGGTTGTCTGTTAGCGATGGCTGGAGTTAAATCCAGCAGGCAGGGTTACATGAAGGAAATGCAGCTGTGATCCTGAATGATTAGGACGTATTTTCCGTTAGCAGCTCTGAGAAAGGACAGAGTAGACGGGGTTATGATGTGGAGTGCTTAAATTAGAATAAAAAATATCAGTATGCTGCGTTAAGTTATCAGACAAACCAGCATTTGAATATAATTTGGGGTGTAAAACTGCTGTTTCAGGTAAGATGCTTGGAAATCAAAACTCGAGATCTTTGAATTTTGAAATACTTTGATTGATAGAACTTGACACGATCGCGATATAAGGTGCCTTTAATGCCATAGTACAGCTGTAAGTTAATCTTTTTGTTTGTTTGTTTGTTTGTTTGTTTGTTTGTTTCCTGCACATAGAAAAATAGGGAAATCATATAATTTTTCTACACGTTTTTATATATGTACATAGTTGATCATTTCCACAATAAACATATAAAGACAAGCTGACAACGGCTCTATGCAATAATAACGAAAGTATAAGATATACTTATAGATAAAGAGAGAGAGATAATACTGTGATATAATTTTTGGCCATCCTGCCCACTACTATTAATACTACTAAATTACCTCTAAAGCAGACTTTTGCTGGTATCTTTACAGCACAGGAGGCAAAGAAGTTGTTTAACATTACAACCATCCTGCTGTTACAGCTGTACTAAGTCTACCCTAATAGCCATCTCATCATTAGCAGATAAGAACAGTGTAATGTAACAGACCACAAAATCTAAAAGAAGGGTGTTGAAGTCACTGAATGGTATTTGAAATGTTGGTTTGTTTCTGTCTGTTAGATTCTGTGCCCAATGGGTGGCTGTGTCTGGGAGTAGACCATGAACCTGAGCGAGAAGAGGCCCAACAAGTGGTGGACTGAGCCGGACACGTTCGCCATGCTCACCCTCATAGAGCAGTTGGACCTGGTCCGGGAGTTGGACAAGAAGCGCCAGCGTAACGAGTCTCACTTTCGCCGCCTGCGCCAGAGCCTGGCCAAAAGGGACATCCACTTCACTGTCAACCAGATCCGTAACCGCTGGAAAAGCCTCAAGCACAAGTACCGGAAGATCAAGTTGGCGACTTACCGCAGTCCCGCTGCACGCCTCTCTGCCATGGAGTCCTTTCGCTACTTCCGCAGGTTGGATCGCATGCTGGCCTGCAGGCCCAGGTCAGGAGGTCCAGAAGAAGGCGAATGCAGCCTAGTTGGCCAGTCGGATTTGGAGGATCACACAAACAGTACTGCTGCTGTGGTTTTTTGCCTATCGTTGCTTCCATGCATGAAGTAATGCTTCTTGCTTTTCTTTTGCCAATATCCATTAACCCATCTGCATGCCTTATACTGTTTAATTTTTTAGCTCTTATCTGCATTAAAGGAAAAATTTTCAACCTATTCTGTATCTGCTGCGCCTGCAGTGTACAGTTGATCACTATGGACAGTAACTTTGACACATGTTCTCAATGGGTCAGTAAACCTGTTGACTCAAGACATATTTACAACAAAAGCTAGTGATCAGATGCTGAAGCAGCTACGTCTGTTATAAGTGTGTCAGTGAGTTTTCTGAATGAGTCAGTGAGTATGTGAAAACGTCAAAATAACTGTCCAATATTAGCTAGAGATTAAGTTGAAAATTCTGGATTCCTTTAAGCTTTATTTTCCTACTTCCCCTTTCTTTCCACTTACCATCAAGCAAATTTGATGTGCTTTGTAGCATTAGAACTGTTCATTCTGCTTGACTAAATCTCCTGAGAATACACTGACAGTCTCATAATGACGTGACTGATGGTTTAAGGGCTTTACGGTACTGCGCAAAACTTAGAGATCACCCTTCAATTATTTCATTTTCAGTCAAAAGTTACTTAAGCCATGAATTAATCAAGTAAGTTATTATTTTCCAGTGTCAGGACATTTAACAAAATAACACAGAAGCCTGTGCAACTAATTATAATGTAATTTTTTTTTAGTATTAAGCGTGTTTACCCTTTGCTTTTATAGCGATCATTCTTTTTGGAAGGTGTGCTTTTAGGTTTTTCAAGGAAACCTGCATGGATATTTTTCCACATCCCCAAAGTTCTTAGATTTTGGTTGCTACACATCCTTTCAGACCTGTAGCACTGAGTTGTCTCACAGTGAAAAGATATACAGAAACGCTTGTGATTTTTTTCCCTTGATCTAAGGCAAGAGTGGAGCTTTTCTTCTCTAAAAGACGGAAGCTTTACCATTTTTAGTAAAGTTTATCTGATGGTGACAGTTTTGGTGGTCTACCAGGTCTTGCTCAGATGTTAGGGGTGCCATTTTCTCTGTATTTTTTTTAAACTCTTGTTTTGGAAACTCGTGTTTTTCTCCTATTTTCCTTCCTTATGCAAGTGGATTACTTTATATCTAAACTTCCCAGATGTATCTCCTGTAAAATGACTAAATGGCTGTTCTGGAAATTTAGTAAATGAAGGTAGTTCTCTGACATTTGCACAGTAATGTACATTAAACAAAATTCCATTTTGTTTAATCTCTGAAGTGAATGCAGACATGTTCAGTTAATATAAAAGTAATTGTTTGGCTCTCTCTCATTGCAGTTCTAGGTGATGTTGGCCAATCATGTCCTGTAGCTCCTTGGTCTGGTGGTGCTTCGCTTGAGTCTGAAACCGAAAGCATTGCCCCTAAGCTGGAATCCAGTGCTGATGAGGAAGTGAATGCAGAGGAGCTTGCCAGAACAGAGCATCCAAGCTGGGCTGCAGGCAGCCACGAGGTCATGACGCTGGGACTGTCCGGAGAGTACCTTTATGCCGTCAAGACTGAACCTCATTCAGATCTCAACCCTGTTCCTACTGTTGATAGAAGTAGCGAGGCCACTGACAGCAGACAAACCGCATTTCCAGGCAAGTGTTAACATCACTATTAGAACACCTCCGCTGACAATCCAACATTTTTCAAAGTGTTTCAGAACCTTGTCTATGTACGTTTGTCCATTGTTTATATTCAGAGATTTATTTTTTCATTTGAAAGAAAAAATTGATCGGAACAAAGGCTAGGTAAAAAATACCATCATCTCAAATTATCTTTAAAAGGCCCATGCCATGGAAAACTGATTAAAAAAATAATAATAATAACATCTAAAACAGTTTGATGTACTTTGTAGACATTGTTCAAGTTTACATAACATTCACTCCCCAGTTCATACAATCCATATATATGGAAATGCAGCAAAAACAGCCTGTTTTGAATTCAGTGTTTTTGGCACAAAAACATATATAACATATATTTACATATATCCACCTGTTCACCCTATAGCAATTTAGCCCCATTCAAAAACCATAAGAAGGCCCAACCCATGGCAGCCAATCAGGAAAGAGATTATTAACATATTACTGTCTTAAAAGCACAGTGTTAAAAACAGCATGCGTAATTCTAATGGATAAAGAGAGGTTGGAAAAGGGTCATGTAAAAAATGAATTAGGTCCATTAGAGACCTCCACACAAACACTATAAGTGAACTTCAGGCAAAAAAATAAAATACCAGAAATATGTAGGATATGGGCCCTTTTTACATTTGATTCCAGTTTATTTGGATAGTCCAATATAGATTATCTACAGATTTTCAAGTTGTTAACAAACACTCTTGTGTAACTTAATTGATTCTCAATAGTGTTTAAGAATCACAGTTAGGCTTAGGTTTATGTTTTGGATTGAGGTTAAGATTAGAGTTACAGTGAGTGTTAGGTTTAGGGTTAGAAAAAGGTAGGTTGATGTTAATAGATGCATAGTTGGATGTAAATTAAAGATGAGTTCCACTAGTTTTTCTCCTTGTCTGTATAATGTGTGCATTAAAATGTAAGCAGTGTCATTCAGAGTAGTTTGATATGAAATGCTCTGTTGTAGAGAAACTTATACTGTGTATATTTTGCATTGTGCCAACATCTTAGGCACCTAAGCAAATTGTTCAGAACCATTTCTCTTAGCAGTAAGGGTAAAACAGCATTTGCAGTAAAAAACAGCATTTGAATGAATACAAACACACATTAATGCAATAAAATGTAACAACAGTTCCTTGTTTTTAAAATAGTAATTGAAAAAAGAGGTTCTGATAAAGATTTCTCTTCAACCATTACCAGCAACACTGATTACGTGTTTACTGAGAAAATAAATTATTTACTGCCCAGATAAACACCTGTTAAAATACAATTTCTGCACAGTGCGTGTATCGTGGCAAAACCAAGGAAAACAATTTTTCAGATTTACCACTGTTTCACATTACATAGAAAAAACGTTTGGTGGTTGTTTTGGACAGCTAATAAAATGATATTTGTGTTGCAGACATTCTGTCTAAGCTTCTGTACAATGCACCATTTCACATCAAACCACTCTCATTGAAATTCTCTCCCTTGATCCCTTACTGTGGGCCGTCCAAAATAAAGTGTTACTTTACGTTTCCTCACAGGCACTTCGGAGGATATCTGCACCCTGATCTTACAGCAGCTCACAATTCTGAACCACCAACTGGAAGAGCAGCTAGCAGAGCAGAGAGCCTTCCACTGCAGCATGCTGGGTATGATGGACAGGCAAATCGAGGTGCTGGAGCAGCTCTCTAGCTTCACCCAGAGCCACTGCCGCCAGCCCAAGCCTGAACCCAGCGAGACTGATTCATCAATCAACCAGAAAGTCCATGAAACCCTGCTGCGAATCCTGAGGGGAATGGAGAACCAGGTGCTTCAGCCATGCCTCTCTAGACCTCCACCTTCAACACCTCCCCCCTGGACGGTTTCTCTTGTGGAGGTCCACAAAAGCTCTTCTAGTGTTGATGTGGAGGTAAACAATGAAGCTGAGAACAGTAAGTCTACAGATGGGTGCAAACACAACTCTTCCAGCCTTCCAGCTTCAGAGCTGCTCTCTTCTTCTCCCATAAATGGTACTTTGCAGAATGGACTCTGTTAATGCAAGTGAGTATTGCTCACAACTGTGAGGCTTCAGATATATCCTAAGCCTTTAAGCATGTCGAGAAAGGACATCCTCTTCAGTTTTTTGTATTTCTGCATTTGGTAAATGAATTAGTTGATATATGCCTTTATGTATTTCTGTAGTTAAATGAACGACGCTTACTTGCTGTTATGATTAGCACTTTGGAAGAGGCCAACCATTCTAAACTTTGAGGGCTTAGGCAGTAGGAACTAGGCCTGGGCGATAGGGCCATGTAATTGGATATTGTCGATGACTGACAGGTAACCTGATGACAGTGCTTAAAAGACAATAATCACCATGTTGGAGAAAAAGAACTGACAGAGCACCAGTGAGGACTAATTTACCTTTAAACAGCTTGCTCAATAATGTTAAATAATATGTGCACATAATGTTTTATTCACTTTTTCTGTTAAAACATTGGGTATTATGGAGCCTTGAAAGGTTGTTTAAGCAACGATTGAGTAAATTTCCCACTGTCTCTGCTACAGGTTTCCTGGTATGTGGTTCAAATTAGTTAAATTATGAAAATTTTGAAAACATAATACTTTGTGCTTTTCCAAAGAGATCTGTTGCTGATTTCCAGAGTGATTCCACTATAACAACAGAAAACACTTTGTTATTTCAATATATAAAGCATGTGAGTTTGGCTTTGGAAATTACTCATTTAGTGCATGTGTTGCAGTCTGAAGATTATCCAGCAAGGGGCACTATTGGTACACAAGTCACCATGAATATACCCCAGAAGCAGGGTATTTTATTATTTTATATGATTTTAATTTAACATTAATTTAACATTAATAGTTAATGTTTAAGAACAGCATATAAACTAAATAGAATAGAAAGTAGGTTTTATACTGCGTTCAGGTGCTCATAGGAAGGTTGTATATACCATATGGTTAATTAGTAAATATGACTTCAACCCGTTCGGGGACTTCATAATTTGATACACCCACCGCACAGATAAAGAAAGCCTGGAGGTCTGGAAAAATACTTATTTGTTTTGTTAAAAATTACATTAATATCATAGAAGTGCGTTAAGTATTTTATTTTTTTCACATTCACTGCAAGTTGATTGTTTTTCACTCATGTAAAAGTGTTTAACTAGAAAATATTGTGCTATTGAATTTCAGAAGTCGCCCAGGCCTAGTAGAAACCCATTTCTTTCTCCCTCTGCCATTGAGCACTTTACCCAGCAAAATTTGCGCAATTTGGAGACAGATTCATTTAGAGAGTTTGCTTATTTTCATTGGCCAAGATCTTGGCTTGTGCAGCGTTTGAATGGCTGATTACACAGATCACCATCATGAGGTGATAAAAGATTAAAAAATGATTCACAGTATGTTTGATTAAAAACACCATTATCAAGCTACTTCATTAGCTATGAAAAGTACCAACTGCTTTTCTAGAACAAAATACTTTAAAATTTAAAATTCTTTGATGTTAATAATGTGTTTACTTTTTTAGCCGCAAGCAGTGATTCAAGTCACTGCCTCACTTTTTTTTTTTTTACATGAGAAATTTTAGCACGCACTACATGCATTAGTAAAATAACCCTGTACTGATGTTTTAGTTGAGGGATGTTAGACAATTTTAAGTGTATTAAAGTGTAGACAATATACACTCACTGGCCATTTTATTAGGAACAATGTTGGTTAGAACACCCTTTTACTCACAGAACATGCTGAATTCTTCATGGCATGGAATAAATGTAATTGCTGCAGATTTGTCAACTGCACGTTCATGCTGTGAATCTCCCATTCTACCACATCCCAAAGGTACTGCTGGATATACATCTAGCAACCGGGGCGGCCATTGAAGTACCTTAAGCTCATTGTCATGTTTATGGAGCCATTTTGAGACAATCTGATGCTTTGTGACAAGGCGCATTATCATGGTGGAAGTAGCTGTTAGAAGATAAAATGTGGTCATAAAGGGAAGAATATTGTGAGCATTTATACTCAGATAAGCTGCAGCATGCAAATGATGCTGTTCAATTAGTGTTAGGAGCCCCAGTGTGTGCCATTATACTAGCACTACCAGCTTGAGCTGTTGACACAAGGCAAGCTGGGTCCATGGATTCATTGCTGTTTATGCCAAATTCTGACTCCACCAAGTGCACGTCAGAGTAGAATCAAGATTCTTCAGACCAGGCAATGTTTTTCCATCTTCAGCTGTCAAGTTTTGGTGAGCCTGCACACACTGTAGCGTCAGATTTGTGTTCCTGCTTGACAATAGTGGAACACAATGTGGTCTTTTTGTTGTATCCCATCCATCTCAAGGTTTGAGGTGTTGCACAGTCAGAGATGTTTTTTCTGATCAGTGGTGAAGTGTTAATGTCGGCTCAAAGAAGTCTAGCCGTTCTCCACTGAACTCTTCCACCACAGAAATGCTGCTCAATTGATGTTTTTTGTCTTCTGCACCATTTTGTTTAAATTCTAGAGACTGTTTGTGTGAAAATCTCAGATCACCAGTATCTGAAATACTTAAAATCACCTTTGGCACCAACAACCATACCATGGTCACTGTTTTCCTCCATTGTGATGTTTAATGTGATTGATACGCGAAACTCTTGACCCTTGTCTGCATGATTTTATGCATTGCGCTGCTGCCACCTGATTGAATAATTACATGACTAAGCAGGTGTACAAGTGTTCCTAATAAAATGGCTGGTAAGTGTGTATGCACTGTTTATTTATTGATCTGTCGACTCTGTTACATAACAAAATTAGTAACATTAAAGGAAAATAGATTAGCTTGATAAAGTGATATGTTGACTGGAACTCACGTAAAACATGCTGCTTCTTTCCATTTTGTCTTTTTTATTACTAATGCTTAGTGGAGCGCTGAGCAGCCCAGCTAAAAGTGCTCAGTGTATCTTAGTGACTGACTGTGGATTGTTGAAACAGTTGTGCTCACATGCAAAGTGGACTAATTTTTAATCCTCAATACAGTAATAAATGACTCTGCCCTAAAGAGAAACAACTGTTCTCTCACTTATTACTTGGATGGATGGCTAGTTATATACAGAGCCGAAGTGAGACTGGGGTTTTCAGACTCGGTGTTACTCAGACCAGCACAGCCCAAACTCTAATTATCCTACTACCCACAAACACGCACAGCACATGCCAAATAACTTTTTTTCTAAAATGCTCATTTTCATCTTCTTGATTTCTTACTCTTATTTATTACTTATATCGCTGTTGTCAGAACAAAAACTCATGTCTCCATTTTTGACAATTTTCAGGTTTTGTTCTGACAGCAGCGATGTACTACACTGAGATAAGCAAGGTGGCTAACTAGTGATAAAATGGAAACTGGTGAACGATTTTAGCTAAAATGTGACAACCATGACATCAATAAGCTACAAACTAATGCTAGTATGTTAGTATGCTAGAAATTAAGTTGAGGTCAGCATTTCTTACTACCCACCTGCTTGGATATGTCCTCGTCCTCCTTACGTAGCTTTTTCATTTGTCTTCTTGTTGTCGCCTTGTTTTTTTCAGTTCCTGTCACTGCTGCACATCTACTACTACTACTACCTGCTCTATGTCTGCCAGTACCAGAGTCACACTGCAGTGCTGAATTTGATACACTGATCTCTCATGGCTGATATTAGCTTCTTATTTGAATTTCTGTTCCACCTTAAATAGTGCAGCAGTTACATGCTAGTGCCTGTACAGGTATCTGAATTTAACTGCTACATCACTGAAGGTGAAATGAGAATAAGAAGCTGACAGCTTCATGTAATCTCTATCCACCAAATGAGACTCAGTTACAATCAGCAAACTGGGGCTGCACCACTTGAGGTGGGGGCAGATTTAACCCGTAAATTACTAGATACTGCAATTGTTACATTGGATGTGTTTACATGCACTTAATAATCCGATCATAATCGGATTTCTGCAGTTATCTGATTATTCAAATGGTCATGTGAACAGCACACTGCTTTCTTAGAATTTAAATATTCTACGTCTTTTAGATGAGGTATGTCCATATTTCCAGGTAAAGAGGTGCAATGTTTTAAAAAAAAAGCCGCAGCATGACATTTGAGTTTTACATTATGTTTACGTCACATCTTCTTCCGTGAGATTATTGGCCAGTTTCAAAGCAGAAATCCAATTACTTCCTGACTCATGTAAACCCAGAGTTTTCCCATTATCGGATTACACATGTGCATGTAAATGCATTAATCAGATTACTGACAAAATCTGACTTTCTGCAGTTAGCCGATTGTTAAGTTCATGTAAACACACTCAATGTTTTGCAAGGTGGATAGCAAATTATAGAATACAGATTAAAACAATATAGATTTCAGGTGAAATCCATCTCTCCTCACACTCTGGTCATCATGGTATGATTCCTGGAGAATGCAGAGGATGATGAGCTCCACTACAACGCCAAGCTCTTAGCAGACCACTATAACAGGGATGTATCCTAGTTTTCCAGCGCAGCTTCTCTCATGAAAACTGTTTCTGACTAGTAACAGTGTTACTGTTCCACTCACTGACTACTATTGTTAGAAGCATATCTCAGTGAAAATGAGAGTTAAATCCATGAATATCAATCACTACTGTTAGAAGCCGATCATGACGATATGTCAATATGACTATGTAAAGAACTCTATTGTAAGCTATATTGAGGCAATATATATAGGCAAGTGAAACAATGTCTGTGATTGAATGTTTCTAGTTTAAGTAGACCAATATCATCAGAAGAGTGAGTGGGGCATGCAGGTAAGGCTTTCTGCACAGCAGGAGAGTGACTGGACATCCAGGATTTTTAGCCTAAGAGTTTACTAATTAATTCTGGTGTTTCTGTTTCTCTTAGTGCCTCTACTTTTAAGACACAGCACAAACATTACCTCTCATAGGCTTTCACAGGACAGAGATTAAATGGTTGTTCCAACCGCAAGCATAAAAACAGCTGAACAACATTCTCTGGCTATTTTGAGAATTATGAATGAGAACTATTCATCAAACATCCATCACAAAACTTTGATCAGACAGCACAAAATTGTGATTGGAAAGTGTTGACGTAGGCTTGTTACCTTTAATATTCAGATAAGCACAAAGCAGGACAAAAAAATTGTAAGTAGATAACATGCATTGGGCCTTACAATCAACGGAATATATCAGCTCCAGCATTAGCAACAGGGCAAAAGTAAAACAATGTCTCAGGCATCAGGCAGCATATTTATAACCGTTTCATGTAATAACTTTTTATGACGGAGCTTTTAGAGGCCTTACACTGTTCAGACATCTGGTTCCTATCACTACCACTGTGAACAATTCTGACTTGGTAAGTTTCTCTAGAATAAAACATTTCAAATCAATCCACTCTGACTTTGGTTACATTTAGTTATGCTCAATTATTTTTGAAAAGTTGGTGGAATGCCCCTTTAAGTTCATTGTTAGCCAGATTGGACAAGATACAAAATTCTGTTGTTTTGTTAGTCCACAAGATGGTGCTAAAAAGCCATTTTTGCTTTCTGGTGAAAGGCTCTGTTAAGGATTATTTAAATGTAATGTGCATGTTGGTTTGTCTACTTCACAATTCTGTTTGTGTCAAAAAAAAAAAAGAAAACACAAATTTTATCACTACTTATATCACAAATAGATTTTTTTAAATACTGTGATTGTATTGTATTGTGGCTTATTCTGTGCTCACTGACATTTGCAAAAGGTTATTATTTGCACCATATCTTACTTAAGTACAAATGTCACAAAGAACACCAAAACCATTATATAATAACTTCTATTATCACACAGTGTTTATGGACTGGTTGGCTTTTAAAGTATATCATTGTCCTATGTATGTGTTTTCACAGCATGTGAAAAAAAAATCAGATCTGCACACAGACTCCCACAATATTGGAATAATTTTGTCTGTAATTATTGCAAGTACTAATGTAACTGGTTACCCCAAAGCATATTCTTCCAAATGAAAAGTTCATTCGTGTACTAAACCCTAAACCCTTTGCAGACAGTACTCTCAAACTCCTGTAGCACCTGGTCAGCTTCCTCAGCCCATATTTTAACAGATTTACTTACTCAAGGATTTGTCTGTATGTTAAGTAGAGGAACAGGGTGGTGTGGTGGGAGAAGTGAGGACGGGATGCAATAAGCACCCTTCCCGTTGCTCTAGATGGTTGAGGGTGTTTTTTGTTTTTTTTTTTTCTTGTTGAAAAATGCAAATGCTAGTGGTATTTCAAGAGGACAGCTTGTAAATTGCAGTTATTAAAATTATCAGCAACAATAAATACAGTGTCTGTTCTGTTTCCTGTGCATCATGCAGAAGCCCAAGCAATCCTCTGAAGGACTGCACTTCACTAACAACAGTTCTGCATCGCATGGACAGTATTCATTTTACTAGTCTTAATGGACTACTAAGTCCTGCTTGTGTTGCAATGCTTTGCTACAGAGTCCTTCCTCCGCTGTGGTGGTGATCTCATCAGTGTCCATCAGAGCACACAGTGCACGAGGTGGCCATGGCCCTTGTTTCTGTGACTTATTGATATGAAAAATTATATATGTAGAAGGTAGTTTTGACATGTCAATTTTTTCCCTTTTTCTTTCTTTGTACTCTTTGATTATTTATTCATTCTTTTTTTCCTTTTCTTGCTGTCTTCGGCCTCTTCATTAAAATGAAAACCTGCAACCCTCCCATTTGATAAATACGGAAAAGGCAAAGGCACAGGCAAGTAGTGGTTGGTATAATGTAGTGGGTAACACCTCTGCTTTTCACACTATAGACTGGGGTTCAATTCCCACTTAGGTAAGTACTCTACACTATAGCAATGTGAGTCCTTGGGCAAGACTCCTAACACCACTTCCACCTACCTGTGTAAAATGCTCCAATTGTAAGTCGCTTTGGATAAGAGCATCTGCTAAATGCCAGAAATGTAATAAATATAGGCAAAGAAAAAAAAAATCCTATCTTTAAAGCTTTATTCTACGTAACATTCAATGTTTAAATAATACTCTATACTATATTTAATCTTTAATCAATATTTTTAATATTTGTCCGTTAATAATAACATGCCATCACAACACGCAACTGATATTATCAAATAGTTTTTATTAAATGGAGTTGCAACATTTTGGTATAAGAGCAACAAGGCACAAAATAATGTAGCTATCAACATTCACATACATTTAGTACAGTACATTTTATATAATGAATGCTATGTCTATATATGTATCTTGACTGAAATGCATAGCTATGCATTACAGCAAATGTTTAGTGTACATTACAGATAAAGCATGAATAGCTGTTTAAGTCTGACAGCTAAACATCCTTACAATTACATCTTACATCAAAAGTTTCACCACTTGTCTTATATATTTACTTCTTTGTTTCTAATGTATTGCATATTTATATACAAGTTAAAAGATCAGTATACATACATTAAGATCTTACAGAGCTCTTCAGCCTAAAGAGAGCTACCTGCCTCCCTCCTCACTGGCCTTGTTTACTCTTGTTTACTATGTACTCCTTACATTTCAATTTGGACCTTTTAAAGCACTCGTTACAAAGTGAGATTTTTCTTTTTTTCTATAAAGTTCCTGTGCATGTTAATTCATTGATTTTATTAAAACATCCAGTCAGAATCATATCAGTGTAACATGAAACTACCCACAATTATAGTAATTTATTTTTGTGCAAGATCAAGTAGTACCTGTTTACCACACCAGCACATCAAACAATAAAAGAAAGACCAAGTTCAGACTTTCCCCAGACCATCCATGCTAAAAACAAAAAGAAGAATATTAGTGATGGCATATTAAATACAGCAGGTGATTTCCTCCTTTTGACTCATTGGGTTGGTGCAACTTTAGACATAAGAGTTACACTCTGGGCTTCTTGTTTCAGTGTTGCAGTCATGGCCAAAGTGTTTGCTGTAGTGCTGCTGCTCCTCAATGCTCTGGGACCAAATACAGGAATCAAACTGGATGGAAATGGATACACTGACATTCTCATAGCCATCAACCCAGCTGTACCTCAAAATGAAGAGATCATAAATCAAATCAAGGTATTCAATCATGTGTATTCCAATAATATCAGACATTCCTAATTTCAAATATTAAGTTAGGTTAGCACCAATAATGGACATGAAAATGTAAAGCTGATGTTGATTTCTTAAATATTAACATAGTCTTATGCAAAGGTTTGAAAACCCCCATCAGATTACATGTTTTTTGTTGATTTTCTAAGTAAAATGCTAACACTTGACTGTAGATCAAGTTCATAAAGCTACATAAGAGGCAACAATAACTTTTTATGATAGCAGACATAAACCTATGGAAGCATATCAGTAGCAAAATTCTAATGAAAATGTGATATGTAAAAAGGCAATGTATTCTTATGTTTGCATTTAAGTTTCCCACTTTGGGCTCAAAATGAAAATTCAATTTCAGTTTTACCATTTTCATTTGGCATTTGGTACAATAGTATTGACATTTCATTTAAACAGAGATTTACACACGTTTCAAGAAGCTTTTTTAAATTAAAATGTATTTCCAGATTTTTTCGGATATGCAAGAAAAGCAGCTATAGCTGAGCTAAAACTTAATGGAGAGCAAAGTAAGCCTTAGTTTTTTTTATATTATGTTTTTAGCCTATACTAGGACATTAGCACATACTGAGACACACTTACAACCAAGATGGTAAAATGGACATAAAATGTTGTGGCTCCCAAGGTGGTTTGATTTTTGTTGAAAGGACAAAATGGCTCTTCTTAACATTAGGGTTGCCAACCCCTGACCTAGCCAAATGCAGTTAGGCTGGGAGAAGCACTGATGCTAATGTGCTCTAGTTTTTATAAGGTTATTGTGTTAGGAGAGGGGTCATCGAACCATGACGAAAAAGTTTAACTGTTTAACTGTTCCTTCCTGGATCTGGGCCTTGTTGAGGCGGAAGGGCTTGTGTGGTCTAGGGATCTTCAGAGCTAAGTCGTCGGGAGCAGTATGCTCCTGGTAGGGTCTCCCAGGGCGAACAGGTCTGGAGTGAAGACCCAGACTAACTCGATCCAAAAATCCTCTATGAAAAATGGACACAGACAATCGTGTACCCTGCCCGGGAGAGGGTCACCGGCACCTACCCCTGGAGCCAGGCCTGGGGGTAGCGTCCCCCGGCGAGCGTCTGGTGGCCGGGCAGCCCACGTAACCCGGCCGGTCTCAGCCCGAAGAGGCAATGTGGGGGGACCATGTGGGCCCACCACCCGCAAGGTCCATCATGGGGGAGTGCCGTATAGGCAGTGGGAGATTGCGGGGGGGGGGCCCTGGTGGCCTAGGCCCCTGCGGCAGAAACTGGCTCTTGGTACGTGGAACGTAACCTCACTGGGGGGGAAGGAGCCAGGGCTTGTGCGGGAGGTTGAGAGGTACCAACTAGATATAGTTGGGCTCACCTCCACCCACAGTGTCGGCTCTGGAACTCCTTGATAGGGGTTGGTCCCTCTCCTACTCCGGGATTGCACAGGGTGAGAGGCGCCGGGCGGGTGTGGGGATACTCACGAGTCCCCGGCTGGCAGCCGTGCAGTTGGAGTTTGTCCCGGTGGACAAGAGGGTCACCTCAATGCGAATTAAAATCGCAGAGAGGAAAACTCTGGTCAGGAGGGCATTATGTGTGGAGGCCGAAGGGTGGCGTCTCTGCTATTTGCAGACGATATTGTTCTTTTGGCTGGATCACATGGATGCCTCCAGCGCACACTGGAGCAGTTTGCAGCTGAGTGTGAAGTGGTTGGTATGCACCTCCAAGTCTGAGTCCATGGTCTTAGCCCAGAAAAGGATGGCATGCCCACTCCAGGTAGGGGGAAAGAACTTGCCCCAGGTGGAGGCGTTTAAGTATCTCGGGGTCTTGTTCACGAGTGATGGGAAGAGGGATCGTGAGATTGACCGCAGGCTGGGACAGGCGGCAGCAGTAATGCGGTCGCTGTACTGGACTGTAGTGGTGAAGAGGGAAGCTCTCTGTTTACCAGTCGGTCTACATCCCGACCCTCACCTATGGTCATGAGCTATGGGTAATGACCGAAAGAATGAGGTCGCGAATACAAGCGGAACTACATTTCTTGGCGGAATACTTGTTTATGTCGATTATTATTAATACTATCTCAAATTATTTTTGGAAAAATTGTGTATTTTATCATATTTTATGTTAGCCACCATTTTATATAAGCAATAAGCCACTTAAGGCTGTGCGTTACTGAGATTTTATCACAGGGAAGTGAGTTTTAGGCACTCTGCTTTGCGTCGTTCCTAAGAACACCCTTCCCATGATAAAATCACAGTAACCCACGGCCTCTCGTGCCTTATAGACCACTGTAGTCGTGTTGTCATTTTGTAGTAGGCTCCATGCTCTTATGCCTATATTAGGAACTCCGGGTCTAAGCTCAATTTCTCTATGGCCAAAATGAATAGGGGTTTCAAAAAATCGCATCTATCACACCCTGTGTTAAATGAAAATGTTCCGGTCTTCATTGGTTCATCTTTCGTTCATCTTGCCTGTTTTTCTTTTCTCATAATGCTCCATTTTGAGCGAGCCTCCAAAAAACCTCCATTTGGAGGGCCATGTAGCCATAACACTTCACCCTACCCCTCTATCTCAAGAAAAATCGGGACACCCTACTCCTAGGTGTGAATGTGCAAAACGGAGGGCTAAAGCCTAAGCGTTAGGGGCAAAGGGTCAAAAGGAACTGGGCCTTTGACTCGTACTTAAGCTTTATGACTCTGAAAGACTCAAAACCCAACATGAAGAAACCATTAGGTTTTAACGTTAAACACGGATACGAATGGAGCCTTCTGTTCGTACTCTGCGTTTGTTTCGTTCATTCTCTGAAAGCTTACAGATACGGATGAAATGGAGCAGTACCACCGGAAGCCGTGGGGGCAGTGTAGCCAATAGTTCGCGAGAGATGCAATGTCAGTTTCTCTCATTGGCAATGTAAGTTAAAAAAAATCTCCATCCACATGTCACAAAGTATTTAATTGCCTCACAGACCACCAGAGTCTACAATATTGCTTCGTTCGTCTCTTTTGTAGTTGGTACATTATAGCGACCTCCTCCACCTTATCTGTGTTTGTTGTTGTCAGAAACTTTTTACTCTGGACTGACCTCTAGTGGATGTACTGCTTAACATACTTGCCAACGTAAATTACGCATGGAAGTATGTGGGCAGTGACGGTTACATTACGGTCGTGTTCTTTTTCGTATGTAAAGGGAATATAAATGAGGCTTTAATGGTTTCTGTGTTTTTTTTTTCAGCAGGGGTTAGCGGTTATTTTTAGTTTGCTGTGTTAGTCTTAATGCTGAGCTAATTTTAATTTTGATCCTATGCTTATTTCAGTGTTCCCAGAAATAATTAAATTATCTTCAAATATAGTTCTTTTTTAATTATGTTCAACTGTACTTTGAACATTCTTTTCATGTGTAGTTGCACTACTCCGTGTTTATGCCATTATTCTTTTATGATTATCTGTCTTCCATGGATTTTGTATTTTATTTGGAAGCGGAAAAAAGAATATGCAGCCACACACTAATAACATGCTGTCAATAAAAGGCTATATTACTGTTACCATCATTTTTGGTTTTCAGTGTTGAAATGGCCTGAAATTAGCTGAAGAATGCAGACTGACTTATTCAGGACTTGAAGATTAGGACTTGGGCCTTGAGACTTGCCTGTACTAACTCCGGATTTGAAAAGGGACTCTAGAATATTAGCAGGTGCAGTGACGGCAGAGCAATATATCCACATGCTCACTTTGTAGAAGATTTCCCTACATGGCATCAGCTTTAATCTGTATGACGGGTCTCCCTGCTACCCTGGTAAACTTAAACACCCTTAAACGGTGTTGCTGTAACATTCAAGAGCATTTAGGCACCAGAATGTAACTACAGCACTGTTTAAGGTGGACCGAAAATGTGAACAAAAAAGCCAGCGGATTGGATGTGAATTGTTCAGCCTCATTTTTATCAGCCAGAATGATAAACCAGAGACTTTGGCCGCAAATTCGATCAAACGCTTTCTCATCGGGTCATCTACAAAACAGTAAGCATCATAGGTGGACATATTACTCTGCCTTTTCTGCCGAGAATGCTGTTGGCCTTGCCCTGACAGAATGATTGACAGGTTGGGAAGTCAAAATCCTTTTGCCAAAGAATGAGTGCAGTAGGTGAGGATATTTAATTGCAAAGAGGAACTTAAAACGTAAGAATACGTTGCTATTTTACATGTTTTCATTTTAATTTTGCTACTGATAAGCTTCCAAATAAGCCTACAGAAACATTTATAAAGGCCTATGCCAATATGCGGCAGTCGTCATTAAGGCTGTTTTTCAAATTCAGTGTCAAGTTCACATAACAGCATCTCAACAGCAAATGTATTTGCTGACATTAGGTATTATCGTAACAATTTCTGAGGTGAGTTGGCATTGCATGTTCTGATAGCTGACTTTGTAGCTTAGAAATTTTGTCAGGAATAAAATGTCCACTTTAGTGTTTTAAGAATTGCATGTGAAGTGAACACTATTAGAAACAGGAGACAAAGTGTGAAATGGACACAATTCCTCTAAAAATGTCAGCTTGACACTGAACTTGATAAAAGCAGCCTTAAAGGCAGCTGCTGCTTTTTGGAATATGCCTTCATAAATGTTTATGTAGGTTTGTCAGTAGCCATGAAAGTCTTATGTAATTCTCATGTAGCCTATTGAACCTGACCTACAGTAAAGTGTTACCATAAAAATAAGTTAACACACAGTACAGAAACAAACTTAAATATGCCATTATTCTGTGAATGGGAATGCACAATTTTTATTTATGTGCTGCGTTTAACACATTGGAAAAAAAACGAAATGTAAAATGTACCATAACTTTTGCACATGCCACATTTTACGTTTTATTTTTACAGCCTGTTCAATTCGGCATAGAAATATGCAGATTGTGAACGTGAGCGTGAACATTGTTGCCCTTAGAAAATTAACAATATGTAATTTGACCAGGAGTGTTCAGACTATTGCATATGACTATGCATAATAAGGCAAATACTTTAGATATACTATTAAAGGACTTCCTGTACTAATTTACAACTTTTTGGGGGTTGTTTGTTATATTTGGTTATATAGTTTGTTCACTTCATAAATATAACAAATTCATAATGTCTGGGTCCTTTATAGACTATCTCACGTCTTTACTAGTAATACAAAAAAAAACACAGCCAGTAACTTTTATTTACCATTTACTATTTCTCTGCACTTAAAATAACCAAAAGATATTAATGTAATGTTGGTGGTGTGTGTGTGTGTGTGTTTGTGGATGGGTGGAAGGAATCATGGACCTCACATGTTTTTGAAGCTTACGTTTATACATGTTGTCATGTTTATACATGGTACTTTGATTAGAACGGAGCTGGGTGTAGAAGTGATGCAAATTTGAGGAGTGTTACAATGTAAAAACACAGCACAAAGGATATGACAGTTACATGGGGGAGTACTCAAAACAGTCAGCTGTAACGTCTGAATTTCAATGTATTAATAAGACCTCTTCAATAATTTTCACCCTTTTTTCCAAAATGGCCTTTGAGTGTGCTGATTTGTTCTACTGAGACAGTAGAAACAGTAGAAACAGTAATACTTTTACAGATTCAACAGCTCTTTGTAAAGCTTATTTATTTTTCATTTTCTTCACTCATATTGATATCAGATTTATTTTTGCAGAGCTTTGATACTGACATTATAATGCTTTACTTTTTTTTTAATCAGGAAATGACTACCAGTGCATCAAAGTATCTGTTTCAAGCTTTAGACAACCTGCTGTTCTTCAAGGAGGTGAAAATACTTGTACCACCAAATTGGAGCGGAACATATGAGCGAATAAGAAGAGAAACCTATGATAAGGTACCAAATGTAGTCACTTTTTATATAGTGGCTGTGGAGACAATATACTGCATAGGAGTAATAATATTATTTATTCGAGAAATTATTGTGTTGATATATAAGAATATTCATAAAATGTCATGCATTCCAATTACAGGCTAATGTAATCATTGATTACCCACACCCAGCATATGGTGATGAGCCATACACTAAACAGATAAAAGGTTGTGGAGAAGAGAGCGAGTACATTCACTTCACCCCAAACTTCCTCTTAAATGATGATCTTCTTATTGCATATGGGCCTAGAGGTAGGTGCTAAATGTAATCTTTGTCACAGCATCAAAAGATGATAAACACAATTTAAAAGAATTTGAAAGAAATTTGTGTTTTAAAATGTAATTATATTTGACATCAGTGATCAAGGTGTAACACGTTTTGCACAAATTTACAAGCATGTAATCAGACATGTGGCCTCTTCTGTCCTTAAAATACATATGTTTTATTTTCAGGAAGGGTTTTTGTGCATGAATGGGCTCACCTCAGGTGGGGGGTGTTTGATGAATATAATGAGAGAGAGTCATTCTACATGTCTGACAACCAGGCCCATAAGACAAGGTCATATCAGCTTTCGAAGATATAATATCTCAAATATCTTTTTTACATGAACATGCATAAAATTTTAAGATATACTTATGCACATCTGTTTACTGCAGATGCACTGGGCAGATAACTGGCCAGAGATACGAAGTGATCAATGGAAAATATCTGTGTTGCCGCTATGATGAAACTGGGTTACCCACAAAGGAATGTCAGTTCTTTCCAGACAAAGAGCAACAAGCAAGTACCTCAATAATGTACATGCAAAGTTTAGATTCTGTAAGTTAAATGTATAAACAGAGGTAACATGGTTATACCTTTTATTTTCTTGCCTTAAGACCTTTAGAACACTTTTGAGTAGCTGGAATCATTGAGCTGCTTCTTTAAAGGCCAAACAAAGAGACCACATTGAGAAATATAAATCAGTTATTATTTCTTGATGCTCATGAAAACACAGCCTAACACAGTAATTCTTCCTGTAGGTGACAACATTTTGTCAAACAGGGGAACATAATGCTGAAGCCCTAAACATGCAGAACCAGAAATGTGACAACAAACCTACACGTACAGTGATTTTTCAAGACTCTGTAGACAAAGACGCCCTTCAGACTTTAAAACCTCTACAATCCCCACCACCACCCCCAACATTCAGGGTGATCCAGAAGCAAAATCGGGTCATCTGTCTCATCCTTGATGTCTCTGGAAGCATGCAGGTATGTTAGAATGCAACAGACTTTTACAAAACAGGAGAAAATTTAAATTTAAGACATTGTAATATAATTTATAATATAGAGGAGTATATTATAAACAGATATTATATTATTAAAAATATCTTGCCAAGAGTTGTTCTGTGGTCAGAAGCTGGTCATTGATGAAAGATTAAAAAAATTGCATGGCAACAGATGCGCTACAGTTAGGTGCAGGAAAGGGTGCAACTACATATCACCTGCAACAACACTGCTGTTGAACACTAATTAAACAAATTAAACAAATTCAACTCATTAACTAATTAGCAAGAAAAAAATGCTAACAATGCAAACTGCTTATTTTTGCACCCCTGACCTACAAGCTAGATGTTTCTAATAAACTGGCCAGAAATAGGGCGCTGCAGTCTGGTGTTTTTTATTTTATTTTATTATTTTTATATTTTTTATTTTATTTTTTATTTTAGATTTTTTGTTTTAATTTTCTGACTTTAAACTGTGACTGAGTAACAGGCAATGCTAATACTGCATTCTTAGAAGTGAAGTAGCCACCTGCTTGTTAGTAGTATTCAGCTGCAGCCCTATTGCAGAACTGGTGAGCCTAGGCCTAGTTGTTAAAGGAAAAGGTATTCTTGCGTTAGGTTGTTTAATATGGTTTTTGACTGCAATTTATGACTGCAAACTTACATGCATTAGTGAGACCTGCTGGTGTGGGCCTATGCCAGTCGCTTCTCTTTCAGTGGCTGTGGGAACAGACACCTTACAGCATACAGCAACATCATCAAAATTTCTGATACTATGGCCTCAGGCTTTAACTACAGGGTAATTGTGTTATTGCCCCACAAAATTAAAGAAGCATTTTACAGTTAAAAAACTGTTTTAGTGGGTATTTCAAGCATGCAGGGATGCTATGGCATCAAAAAAAAAAAAAGTACTGTTTTCATCACATGCATATTCCACCTGCTGGTTCATTCACCATGCAAGGAAGCCATACTCGCGGTTATCCCACGAAATTAGGCTACTTGAAAGTGCAGTAACAGGTGGAAATTATAAAGTTGCAGGGTGCAGAATGACTGCTGTTGGTAGTAAAAACAAATCGCTGTATGAATATATATATATATATATATATATATATATATATATATATATATATATATATATACAACACTAGGAACTATATATATAGAGATCCTAGTGTTGAATAGCTGGCAAACTAAGAACACATGGGCACATAGAGTAAGAGGTGGTGCAGTATGAATGTGGCATGTTTTGTGGCACATCACTAGTCAGCCAGCTCTCTTTATATGGCAATCTGATGGATGAGTCTGGTTTTGGCGAATGCCAGGAGAACGTTACCTGTCTGATTGAGTGTGCCAAGTGTAAAGTTTGGTAAAGGGGGGATAATGCTTTGTTTTTCAGGGGTTGCCTTAGGCCCCTTAGTTCCAGTGAAGGGAAATTATAATGCTTCAACATACTGAGACATTTTGGACAATTCTATGCTTCCAACATTGTGGGAACAGTTTGGGGAAGGACCTTTTTCATTGTAGCATGACTGTGCCTCAGTACACAAAGCAGGGTCCATGAAGGAATGGCTGGGTGAGTTTGGTGTGGAAGAGCTTAACTGCCCCTCACAGAGCCCTGACCTCAAACCGAACACCTTTTGGGATGATTGTGAGCCAGGCCCTCTCGTCCAACATCAGTGTCTGACCTCACAAATGGTCTTCTGGATGAATGGGCAAAAATCCCCACAAACTCCAAAATCTTGGAGAAAGCTTCACAGAAGAGTGGAAGCTGTTGCAGCTACAATGGGGGGAACAGCTCCATATTAATGGCTGTGGATTTAGAATAGCATGTCATAAAAGCTCCTGTGGGTGTAATGTGTAGGTGTCCCAATTTTTTGGTCTGTATAGTGTACCAGTTGACCTACAGAAAAATATCCCTCACTACTCTATGCAGTTTTGTGTCACACACTTAGTAAAAAAGAATTACAACTCAACACCTCATTTATTTCATTATTTATGGAGCTACACAAAGCACACATAAAGCACAGGCAAATATACATCACCTATAGTCTCATCTTGTTTCCTAAAACATTCAGTTTTCCTGTTAAGTGAAAGTTGTTTTATGTTTTGTCTTGCTTTGTCTTGTCTCTTGTCTTTTTTCTTGTTGAAAAGTAACATTCACTCTTTCCAACAAACTCTGGGGACATTAATCTGATTATGGTAATTATTTGCATTAGGTTACAGACTATAACAGGTAATCTTTAATTTTAGTCACAAAATATTTTTAAAGTACCTTCCCAACCTTAATTATTTGCATATTTAATCTAAGTTTATTGATAATTGAAATTAAGAAGTTATCAAATGTTATAGGCTTTCAGGAAGAAAAAAACACTCTCTTGCTGCTAAGAGTCATTTGATTTTACCGTAGAAAACACAATGATTTTTAAAAATTGTATTATTCTGTTCATAAATATTTGTTTATCTGATAGATTTCAAGAAGAAGGTGGCAAAGCTGTTAGAGCATGTAGTGACCTACAGATTTCTGATTTAAGAGGCTAAGATACTCACTGTGTGGTTAAAAGCAGTTTGAATTTTTTTTCTGATATTTGGCTGTTTATCATCTTTGATTTTAAAGGGCCAGAGAATATTTCGACTACGACAAGCTGCTTCGCTGTTCCTAAGTGAGATTGTGGAGGATGGAGCATATGTGGGCATTGTCAAGTTTAGTACTGCTGCAGACATTATAAGTTCATTGACTAAAATAGAAGGTAAATTTTCAAGACACAGTTTAATTAATAAGTTGCCAACAGCTGCGTCTGGATCAACCAATATGTGTACAGGTCTTGCACTAGGTTCTGAGGTAAGACAATATGTGTGTAAAATGTGCTTTATTATTTGTTATATAGAATTTCATACAAACATGTTGTACTAGACAAGATTGCCCTGTCAATGGGCAGTTTCTGTTGGAAAAAATAATTGTTTAATTTTCAGTCTAGATGTAACCAACCCAGAACAATCTTTTTTTTTATTGTTTATTTCAGGTACTCAAGAAAGATGATCAAAGTACAGAAGGAGATAATGTGATTTTTCTGACAGATGGTGAAGCGACAGATGATATTCAGAGTTGTTTACAGTCAGCTGTGGACAGTGGTGCCATCATCAACACGGTAGCACTTGGTCCAGCAGCCTCTAATGTGCTGGTAACCATGGCGGATCTAACAGGTATGATAGTCAGAGTAATGATGTGTATCAGGGAAATTAAGTTGGTCATCTATACACTTCTGCTTATGTTTAATCTGTTGGAGCTTTAAGCTCATTCCTCAGCAGTGTGTGTGGAATGCCCCTGAGTATTCTGGGAGTCCCATATTGGGACCTGACTACTCCAGCGTTGGCTATCTGCTAACTCACTGCCATAACAGCACTGATGCTAGCTTCAGATTGCAGTAATAAATGAGTAATAATTCAGTCTTTCCACCAAAATTTTCAGATTTACGAATATGCTGCGGCATATTGTAAAGTTTTTCAGAGGTATCCTGGTATCCTGGGCATAGTTATAGTTTCAACAGGGTCAACCAATTTACCACTGCGCCACACTGAGGCAGACTAGCACTGCACCTCTAGTTAGTTACTTAAGAATATCTAAGACAGAAGCTTGCCGACTATGGGTAAAGCAGGCTCAACAATGATCCTATAATCTTATAATTTCCTTATAATTGTATTTAAGTGCTTATTTCTCCATGATGGACAACATAACATCATAATAAATGTAGCAGAAGTCCTGAAACCCGATTGGATGGTAATGTGACTTTGGTAATTGAAGTCAAATATTTACTTTTTTAATTAATTTTGTTAGATGGAAAGTTCTTCTTCGCTGATGAGAGTTTGCTTTCCAACCAACTTGTGGATGCCTTCTCTTCATTTACAATGTCAGATGGAGATCCCACCAAACAGACAATTCAGGTAAGCTACTTACATATTCACTGCAAGAAACAGACCCTTTCCATACTTTCTTACTTGACTTACTTCATTTTTCAGCAGAAAAGGTCATGGTAGGGAAAACATTATACAGCAATCATGAATATGAGTTAGAATGTAGAAAGAGTCCTCCTTTGTAATGTCCCTGATGTAGAGAACTTGCTTATTTTTACATTTTTTTACAACTTATTAGGGTATTTACATAATGTTTCCACAAAAGACATGGAGCAGTTTATATTTTTAGAAGGAGCTAGCTTGACAAGGTCTACAAGCTTTTCTTTGAGCATGACCACAAAGTTAAGTTAAAGACCTCAATGAGGTTAGCTAAAGTTAGCTGCTAATGTTTTCAGAATATAGTTAATGTTGTGAAAGTTGGGAGTGTAGTTAACATAGTCAGTTATACCTCATTGTCCTTTGCACATGTTCAACTTTACATTTTAAAAATTTTTTCTCTGTCTAATGTTAATGTTGCGGTGTTCAGTGTCCAATATTGAAAATGGCCAGATTAGTATTCTTATGTAAGCTAACCAACATGGCAATTTTTAATTATTTCAGTGTGATCAGTAATATCGCTGACTATGAAAAAGTGTCAAAACGTAACGTAACACTACCTATTTTTAATTTTTTTACTATGTCACATATTTTCTCTCTTATCACAGACAGCTTTTTATCTTCTCTAAATCTGTCCTGCTCACCCATCCTGCACTGAAGCAACAGGTGTCAGTAGCCATTTGTTAACATAGGCCTTGTCAACCTTGCTTGTCTCTTAAAAAAAAGACTGCTCTACTAATGATCGCCATCTTTAGTAGAAAGATTATGTTAAAACCTTAATAAAGAGTCCTCTTCATTCTCATTTATAAATGCCGCCACTGCTGTAATGTTTTCCCTACTGTGACTGTTTCTGCTGCATCAAATACAGATGTGTAAAAAGCATCGTGAGCCAGCATTTCTGAACAGCTTTTTTTCTGAACAGCTTGAGAGCACTGGAACGATTACTACCAACTGGTTCAATGGAACAGTGCCCATAGACCGCACTGTGGGAAACAGCACCACCTTTACAATAATCTACGAAAGAAGTGCACCCACAGTGTACATACAGACACCAAGTGGTTCAGTGTATGATCAGAATGATCAGACTCATGTCACCGATAACGCAGCAATAAAGACAATCACTTTAAATGTTCCTGGAACTGCAGAGGTATGACACCGTTTCTGGAGAGTCATCACTTACTTCACTGTAATTCTTGGCTAATAATCTAATAAATGAATTAGTGGCAACAAAAGCACAATCTAGGAATCCTGGTAAATGCTGTATCCACCAGTTTATGCTGTATGAAACTGACAAATGTAATATAGCATATGAGGCATATATACAGTACTGAGCAAAAGTCAGAGACCACCTTTCATTTATATTATTCTCAGTCAAAACAACCATTAAACACAAGAAAATCAAGCTCCACTCTTGCTTCAGATCTGTCCATCCTTCCACCGTGAGAAGACAACTCAACACTGTGGGTCTGAAAGGATATGTAGCTGTCAAAAAGCTGTTACTGACAAAAGGAAATACACAAAAAATAAGAAAATTTACAAACCAAACAAAGAAGCTGCTGGTGTTCTGAGAAGAACTGTGGTAGAATATTCCTAATAGTGACATTTACTGTTTTGCCTGGAAATAAAATAAACTGAGGGTGGTCACTTATTTTTGCACAATACTATATATCTACATTTGATGTATACATATGAGACTTTATGATTTTAGTGAATTATTCCTGCTTCCTCTTGTGCATGGCAGCCTGGAGACTGGAGATACAGCTTCCTCAACACAGAATCAACTGCTCAGACTATGACTTTAACAGTAACAAGTCGGGCAGCACGTGGCAACGTTCCACCAGTCATGGTTAAAGCCCAAATAAGCCAGCCAACCAGTGATGGCAGTAAACCTGTGGTAGTTTTTGCTGGGGTCAGTCAGAATTACCTTCCTGTGCTGGGGGCCAAAGTCATAGCCACCCTGCAGTCAGATACTGGACATTCAGAAAAATTAAACCTCTTGGATAACGGAGCAGGTACTGCCCTTGAATTCTGTGTTCTACATGCATATACAGGTTTTATTAAGCTTGCGTTAAATAGCAATAGATTTTAGATGCTGCATATATTGAGCAAGAATGTATCTTTTGCAGGAGCTGATGCTTTTAAGGATGATGGCATCTATTCTAGATATTTCATAAAACTACAGAATGGAAGGTACAGTCTGAAAGTGCAGGTTATACACCAAGGTGGAGTCATCAGTGGTTCACACAACAGAAACAGTGGTGCTCTGTATGTCCCTTGTTATAGTGTGCATGGTATGTTGGGCAAACTTTCATCATACTACATGGTAACCATTGTTTTTAGGACGTTCATTGCTGAGTACCTCTACATCTATGTCTTATTACTGTGTAAAAATCAACTCGAGTCCACACCTCTGATTTTCACACGAATCACAAATTTAATGACTTCAGTGTCGTGTCGAGAAAATCGAGAAAGACTTGTGACTCGACTATGACTTCAACACCGATGACTCTGACTCTGACTCGGACTTGAGCGTCATGACTCAGGAAGACACAAGACTTAAACTGGAAGAAAGTTGGAGAGTCTGATTGCAGACGGGACTCTACACAGTAAAGAGAATGTAAGTGAATTCGTTTCCTGATGTAAATTTAATAAACAGCAATGTCATCAAGTGTCTGTTACTGTGCTTATGCTTGGCCTACTGCAGAAACTTACCAGACGAACTGACCTTTTTCCTCATGGTAGTAAAACAATAGAAACACAGCTTTCTCTGTCTTGACCGATTCTGTAGGTAAAACAAGCGCAACATCTAGCACAAACTTGACTTTTTATTTGCTTTTAATTCTATGTGCCAAATGTTTTTAAAAATTATCAAAAAATATCTTCAAATAAAAAGTGTGAGTGTGTGTGTGATTGTGTATGTCTGTCTGTCTGCCCTGCGATGGACTGGCGACCTGTCCAGGGTGTATCCTGCCTTCCGCCCAATGACAGCTGGGATAGGCTCCAGCACCCCACCGCGACCCAGAAGGATAAGCGGTTTAGATGATGTATGTATGTATGTATGTATGTATGTAAGTTCAGTAGTACTTTCATGTATAGTTGCACTATGCTTTGTGTATACAGCATGCCTGTCATGGTTATCTGTATACCATGGATTTTGCATTTTAGTTGGAGGGATAAAAAAATAATAACAAAAAAAAATTATATACAGCCATACACTGCTAACGTGCTGTCATTAAAACATGTAACAGTACTATAACCTGTTACATTATTCAGAGTTATGACCTTAAATTAGCTGAAGAATGCATACTGACTTGTTTAGTACTCAAAGATCAGGACTATTGACTTGGGACTCATCTTGAGACTCACCTGTACTGAATTGGGACTTGAATCAAGACTCGACTATCTTGACTCGGGAATTGAGAGTTACTTAATGATGCTTTACCACACTCAACCCACTATAGTTAGAGAGGGCAAGTTCTTCTGATTGTTATGATACTTGTTTACCTGTTCCTGAGATATGAAGCCTAACATCAGAGAAATAATATCAGGATAAGGAGTGGAATTTTGGGTCGTGTTTCAAACACACTCTGATGCTATATATATATATATGTATTATGGCAAGCCAAACAGGAAATATTTAATGAACTTTGATATATATACAATGAACATTTATATATATATAAATGTTATAAATATATTGTGTTATTTTGTGTCCAGCTCAGAGTTAGGGAGAGTGTGTTTGTGTTTGGTGACCATCAGAAAAAAGAGTAGGGCTAGGAGTGACCTACCTCAATTTTCAGTTGCTTTTCAAGTGGCATTGTTTTCCCTTGCTCTCAATGAAAGACCATTTTTCAAACAGAAATTATGGCCTCAGCTGACTCTTCTTCTGCACCATGTCAAATTATGTATATATTGAAGCTCCACCCATCTGTAGCTTCACCATATATCAGCCACTCTCAGGTCACTCTGTCTAAGGGATCACTGTGTATAGATACTGGTCACTTTATCAGAATTCCCTTCCTTTAAGCTCCACCTGGAGTTTGTTAATGCCCATTTATTGATGTACAGTTTTTCTTGGCCATCCTCAACCCTTCAACAGCGACTTTCATTCAATATATATCAAAGTTCATTCCATATATATCAAAGTTCATTGTATATATATATATATCAATGTTCATTAAATATTTCCTGTTTGGCTTGTCATAATATATATATATATACATATCTGTTTTATTAACCGTTCCTGAGTCTGGAGTACAGACATGCAAATTGCCTGTGTAGGTTCTAAGGATTAATGCCTGACACTGGATAGTTGCACTCTAGTCTCGCCACAGAAAATGCTTCTGAATTAGACTCTTTAATTAATAAATGAGCAAGCGGTTTAGTACCTGTGTGAATCTAAATATGTCCAGTCTCTCAAAATGCAGCATGAAGACTGCCATTGAGCCCTTATTTTCAGGTCAAGTACAGCGAAACCCTGAGAAGCCCCCAGTAAATGTGCAGTTGGCAGATGTTGGCAGCTTCACTAGAACAGTCACTGGAGAGAGCTTTGTGGCGAAAGTCCCACCAGGTGAAATCCCAGACTTCCCTCCCAACAAGATCATAGATCTGAGGGCGGAAATGCGGGAGGACACTGTGCTTCTCAACTGGACGGCTCCTGGCGAGGACTTTGATCAAGGAACAGGTAAATATTGCAAGATTCCACTTTAGACGACCCACTGCTCTAACACTGAAGGACTTGATAAGGATTTGTTGACAAACCAAATTAAGTGTGCAGAGAATGCATGAATACATATCCTTAAGCCTGTAAAAGTGATTACTGCTGCAATGTCTTTCTTTAGCTTTTTTCTTTAATATTGCGCACAGATAGGCACCAAGACAGACTAGAATGGTAGAGATCAGGGATTTCAGACTGACAGCACTGCAGAGTTTAGCCTTTTACCTTGTTTAACACACCTGATTCTTCACAGCTAATTAGTAAGTTCTTTAAGTTAAATTGAGAATATATTTTATAAACCAGGTAATTTCTTTCTTTTCTTTTTAAGCTGAATCTTATGAAATTAGATGGAGCAAATATTTGGAGACACTTCAGAGCAACTTCAGAAAAGCTAATCTAATAAACACATCTGCACTCCAACCACAAGAGGCAGGTTCAGATGAACAGTTTTCCTTCCTGCCCGATGTCATAATCCAAAATGGGACCACTCTGTACTTTGCTGTTCGGTCAGAGGACAAGGAGGCAGTGAAGTCTGAGATATCTAACATTGCTCGAGTGACAAAGTTTGTACCAAGTCCTAAACCTTCAGTAATTTCAAATCAAGGCCTGAACCTGACCACTATTATGGTCTCAGTCTGTGTAGTATCTGTTTTGGCATGTCTCGTAGTTGCTGTAACCATTCTGGCAATGAAACGAAAGAAAGCTGGCAGAGCAATTTAAAGTCACAGGAGAGTTACTGATGCCTAGCAAATGACGAGATTTAACAGAACATTTCACCCAAAAGTTGTTTATATGAGGCATAATAACATCCTAATATGCTAACTGTTTTTTTTTTTTCAATCTTTTATTCATTATTAGTTAAATCAGTATTTTGAACAAAGTTTTCCTTTAAGTACTGGTGTTTTTATGATACCTTTCCAATGTTTAATTGAAGAGCTTTGCTACAAGCAACTGATAGAAATGGCAGACTTTCCTTAAAGACCATTTTTGCGATCTGTACACAGGGGAAATTGTGGGATTATGTTATCCATCCAATTTAGTGTTAGCCTATTATCCTGCTGGGGTCTTTATTTCAACAGCGTGAGTTGGTGCATTTGGTTTGAGCAATAATATAATGTTGTTTCTTTTCACTTTTTTGTTTTTAACAAATGGCAGTGTTCTCCTAGCGGCAAAGATAAGTTAATGTTACTCAGCTGTCAAGCAGAAATAGAGCAACCTGCTCATATCATGCCTTTCAAGTCTCCATGAGGCTGAAGTTAGCTTTTTTTTCGCCAGCTGCTTGTTCGAATTTTCCTGTTCCACCTTAAATGGCACAGCAGTTCAGAATGTAACAGAATGTTATCGGGGGAAAACAGTAATATTAAGCTGAGTCTGTACTGAATTAGCTGAGTGCAGGTAAGCTTGTAGGGTTTTTTTTTTGATCAAGCTATGTACAGAACGGAAAGATCTATCGTGTTTCAGTATCAGATGAAGAACAGAGAACTGCAGGGAAATCTGCTTCTTTTGTTCTGACTTTTTGTCATCTCAGCCCTCAGTCTGTACATGGAAATACGCTACCGTACTGATAGCGTGCTTACGGAGGCTGCCAGTCTAATGTTGTTAATTCAGTATGCAGTAGCTTTAGCTTACATGTAGCAATATTCATATTTCAACTCTTTAACAACCTCATAATTCAAAGGATTCAGAGATATTCGAGAGAAGTCTGTTCACAGCACAAAATCTGTTGGGTTCTGCACATTTTCAGGGTGTGATAGAGGTGATTTTTCAAAATCCCTATTCATTCTGGCCATAGAGAAGTCGATCTTAGCTGCGGAGTTCCTAATATGGACATAAGAGCATGGCACCAATTACAAAATGACGACACAACTACAGTGGTCTATAAAATGGAGAACTGACTCCACGTTATTTTCTCAGTACTCCAGTTACTGCACAGCAACCACTCTACACTATTACTCCAGGACTTCAGTTCACACTTTTAGTGTGCAAGTGTTTAAATTTGGTTGGCTGCAGTTAAAAGATGTGCCTGGGGATGATTTAAAGTGAGGTGCTGTCCTGTAGAGTATGTCAGTTTTTACCCAAAAAACTTTGTTTCTGTCATTGTCAGTTTACTGCAAATGGGCTTTGAGAAAATGTCAAAGTAAACATCTTATGTTACTTCAGTGCATTAGACATATATATTTTTTGTGGCTCCCATGGCTTTGATGATTAGGTTTAGGTTTTTCAAATCAGCTGCATTTCCTCGTTTTTGCATGTATCAGCTTTTACCCTTTATCTCAGTCATGTCATCTTCTTTGGAAGGTGTGGTAGTGTGCTTCAATCTAGCATGATTAGATTTGGGTTTTAGATTTCGTGAGTTTTCCCTCACCTTACATCTTATCTTGAGTTGAACTTATTATGAAATTGCAATGTCATGGTTATTGGGCAAACATCCTGCGGTGAGCAGATGCTTTATAGCTAGTCTGGTGACACTTTATTTTGAGTGGTCCTTTTCAGATGAAACAAATACTCAGTATTATTCAGCAGTGAATAAATTCAGTAGATTATTAAGAGACTTTTAATTAACACTGTAAATAATTTGTTTATAGTCTGCTGAAATCAGTTGCTTTTCATTTTATTTGGAATGACATTCATATCTGTAGATGAAGACCTGAGAGATGACTGAACATGTGACAGGAATAATACAGACCATCTTAACATCCTCCACAAGCTTTTACAGACATGCTGCTGACACCATTCTGTATGTGGAGCTTAACTGGATTAGATTTTGGTTTAGATTAGGGTTAGGATTAGGGCCAGGGTGAGGGTTAGGATTAGGTTTTGGGCAGAGGTTAATCTTAGGGTTAGGATTAGATATTGGGTTGAGGTTAAGGTTAGAGTTAGGATTAGGGCCAGGGTTAGGTTGAGTAAGGTTAGGTAGGTTTAACTATTTGTTAAATTAGAAAATGTCATTTTGACCAGGTACCACCTTTGCCCCTAAACCAGGGGTGTCCAGTTTTATCTGCAAAGGGTCGGTGTGGCTTCAGGTTTTCACTCCAAACAAGCTGAAGCACACCTGATTCTACTTGTTTAATCAGTTTGTCTTAGTCTTCAAATATTTTATCAAGTGACCTCCTGCTTTGTTGAAGTGAAACCCTACAGCCACACTGGCCCTAAAAAATTCATTCCATTTCTGATACCTTTTCTTTTTTTAACCATAATTTGTATCTATCATACCTGTTAGTGTGGTGATTGTGGTGTTTTAATGCATATCTTGTGCACTGTGTTTTGTAATATGCTTCTTTTCTTGGTAGTCTAGATGTAGATATTTTGCTTCTTAGTTTTACCATTTATTACCATTTCTGGATCACTTTTGATCACTGTTGTTCAAAAAAAGTATGTAATGCTTGCTCAGGTTTAAATATATTTAAATATCTCATGAATAATGCTCTGACAAAATGTCTTTTCACAGTCAAAATGCTGTACAAGATACTTTTTTTCTATTTTTTTAAGAATACATGAAAAAAGAGTGAAAGTACATACAGGACTGCTCAGCTTGTAAAAACAGGAATAAAACATGCATGTACAAAAATGTCATTTGTTTTTATTTAACAAGTTTTCAAGTGAGAAATATCATTTTGTTCACCTTTGTACGTTACTAACAAAGACCCTACAGGACATCCACGCACAGCTTCAGAGTTTGTTTTGCTAATTTGTTACAGGTATTCCATTACAAAGAAAGCTGTTTATGGCAAAGGTTTGTGGAGAACTGGTGCTACTGTGCTGTTTTATAGGCTGCTTTTTCAAACGTTCCTGCACACTGCAGCACAGCTGCTAGTTAACTATGACAGCTACATGCTATGCTCATAAATGGGGGTGGTTAGAAATTAGAACTTGAAAATGATCGAGTGACACCAGTGAGTGGAGCTTCAGAGTTTTCTGTACTGTATTCTAGTTTGCTGGTGCACTGTAGCTAAAAGCAGATTTTCCCAATTCAGAAAAACTCTAGAAACCTAACAGGTGATGCAGTCGCTGAAATGAATCTGATAACTACCATCAAAAACCAGATTAATTCTGGCCATAGTGAAATCGAGCTTAGGTCTGGAGTTCCTAATATGGGCATAAGATCATGGCACTGACTACAAAGGGACAACGTGACTACAGTGGTCTATAAAATGGAGAACTAACTCCACCTTATTTTCTCAATCCTCTAATCGCTGCACAGCAACCACTCTACACTATTACTCCAGACCTGAACGGATTACTTCAGTTCATTTTTAGTGTGCAAGTGTTTGAATTTGGAGCTTCAGCTGCTTTTAGCTGTAGCTAAAAGCTGATTTTCCCAATTAACAAAAGAAAAAAAACTCTTGGAACCTGACAATCACTGGAGTGAGTCTGATAACTACCATTACTTACAGGCAGCATAGATGTGATACAAGATGGCATATAACTGGAGAGCACCCTATAAATAAAAACAAACCAGATGAGTATCCCACTGCACAGCTAAAGAGGACCAACCCACTTTTTCATACAGTCATCCAGGATGGATAGTAAGGTAGTCTTAATGACCCGTTTCCTAGTATGCATTGGGAAACGTCTTATTTCAGTACTAGTATCTGAGCTTGTACCTGCATTTCCTGACTAGCTTATTAATGTGATGTATAAACATAAATATATTGTTCAGCCATATGCCAAGGTACTTACACTCAGTAATACTCTCAGTAGTGGATCCTGCCAGGCTGCTGACATTTACAATGTAAAAATCAGTATTGGGGGTTCTGGAAAACCATGAATTTAGTTTTTCTTGCATATAAAGCTAGTTTATGCTTGTACAGAGCAATATGTAAAGTATTGCTCTGTATAAGCATACAATTATTTTGTGTGTGATAATACAATAATATGCAATGTAATCATATAATGGTGAAAGCTAACTGAAAATAATTGCAGTACAAATAATCACGATTACATACTTTAAAAAGATGGTTTTTCAAGAGGCAATGGTTCTTTGCATGATAAAATGGTTCTTCAGATTGATGGAGAAATGTGTTGTATATGGTTCTATGGATAACATTTCTGAAAATGGTTGTATAAAGCACCAAAAAAGGGTTCTTATACTGTTACAAGCTTGTCACCAACGCACACTGGCTGAGCAGCCAGGCTTGAACGCAGAAACACACATCCAGTGACCAGCATATGTGCATAGCATACACTCTTAGCAAAAAGGGTTCTTTGGCTTGTTACAATAATGGAACCCTGTATGGAACCATCTACAGCACATTCTCCATCAATCTGAAGAACCCTTTCTTGATACAGAGAACCCTGTAATCATGCAAAAGATTCTTTGAGTATTGATGGTTCTATATGAACCTTTTTTCTTTACTAAAGAATCCTTGAAGAACCATCTTTTTAAGAGTGTAGCTTTTATTTACATATAACTGAACACAAAATGAAACATGAACTGAAATAGGGCCCTTTCCTTCCAAAGTCCTCTCCCTGATGGCTTAGGCAGCCTGGCTTTTCATGTGTCCTGGCTGAGCATGGATTCTCTTAAGTTGAGCCTGATGTACACATTTCTGTGACTCAGCAGCAGCTCTGCCTCTCCACCACCACACCTGGTGACTTCAAACATGGTACCTTCCAGAGATTTTATAAATGGTCACAAACTTTTCCTGATCCGTGTTTTTTCACAAGTATTTCCATTTTCTTTGCTGTAGCAACAAAGTGTGTTATCAATGCTTGTGTGC